CGCGGGCGCGGGAACCCTACCTGCGGGCGGCCAAGCGGCTGATCGACGCCTGCGTGCGCTACGAGGAGGACTGGGGCGAAGCCGACCCTGATACCCGCGCCGCTTTCCTGCTCGGGGGCGCTGGCATCTACGCCGCGGCCACCCTGGTCTCCCAGGCGCTCGGACTACCCGAATGGGCCACGTCGCTGGGCAAGTTTCGGGAGCTGTGCGAGCCGTGCGTCCCCATCTCCTTCCTTGAGTGCGGTTCGGACGAGCTCTTCGTAGGCCGCGCCGGCTATCTGTGCGCGGCCCTGCTGCTGAAGCAGAAGCTGGGGATGGAGGTAGCCGCGCTTCGAACCCCCGCCTTGTGCCACGCCTGCCCTGACCTGCCCTTCCTTGTCCGGCTCTACCCTTTGCCACCGCCCCCCCTCTGTCCCTCCCTTCCATCCCTATCACAAGATTCGTTGTTGGGGTTTGGAGACACCTAAGAAGACTTGACTGGAAATATGTTGGGATAGGCACATTAGCCTGTCTCTTCACCGTTTATTTAAGCCTTTGGAACAGAATTCGCAAGTGGCATTTAAATTTCTTTTCACAAACCACTCTAGCCTCTCTCTCATACGTTTATTTGTGTAGAAATGAATACACAGGAGTGGGCGAGCAAAATTATGCTTAGAGTTTTCCTTAGGTTTACTCTTTCTAATTTTTTTTAAGTGGCAGATTCACTCCCCCCCCACACACACACACACCACTTCGATTAGAAGCAAACATTTTCTAATATTCAAGAAATGGAACACAAGCTGAATGCTGCTCTAATGCTCTGCCATCGCCACTTCATGCCCATTATCAGAATGCCTGTTAAGAACTTGTGAGTAGATGATAAAGGCAAAAAATTCAGTTACACACATGGAAATTTGCAGTATGACCAGTGACCCCAATTCCATTCTCCCACTCTACCCATTTCTACCTAAATAAATGCTAGGATAGAATTTGCTTTCTCACTCACAGTAGGTACTCCTGAGTAAAATGTCAAATATGCTTGAAGCTAAACGTTTTGCTTCTGTAAGTGGATGACTATAAATTTTGTGCATCTTTTACTGTCTTGAATGCAGTTTGGTGCCTATTTTGGTGGTGGTGGCCTATTTTCCAAAGAACACAGCATCTGGACAGAGAAGGGATTGCTATTTCCACCCTTAAGAAATTTGTTGGTTGCAACCCCTTTGCCTTGCTTCACACTAGTAATTTAAAATTGTACTTCATTTTCTAATAAGGGATGAGAGACAAAGAGAATGCACTCAAGAATGCACAACGGCCCCCACATCGTAAATTGTATCAGCTCATTGTTTTTAGGCTAGCATTTCAACCCAAGCGGTCTGCTGCTTTCAGAATTCTGCCACCTCAGCCAATGATTCCTAGTGCTGTATGTCTGACTATCTGCAATCAGCCTATTATTTTTATCTCATCCCTGATGAGATACTGTAGGCATATAGGCATTTATCGTGTAGATGTAAAAATGCTGATTGACTGTTTACTTTCCTTTTTCTTGACCCTTAAGACCAATATTAGTAATGAAGAAACTGATGAAAACATTCTAAGAATTATGTTTTTATAATGAAAAGTTCAAAATGAAATTGATGCAGTTGAGAAAGAAACCCAAATAAATATAATTGGAAATAAACCTAATTTAATTCCAAATAAATAGGATAAGGATTAAAACACTGCTTTCTAATAAAACTTGTGGCACTGTATTCAGATTTATGGAACTTTATATCAACATTTATCAAAAACAAAGAAAGGTCTTGAAGATAGCAGTAACAAAAATAAATATAATGGCTTGTAAAAATACATACATTATACATAATCTATATTTATTTATAAATACTCATTTATAAAGCCCACTGTTATAAATTTAACTTTGTTCTGCTGCTAGAGTAAATATGAGTTGTTTATTTTTCTTCTTACCACTTAATAAAGTTATATATTTACATGAAATTCAGTTAATTGAATTTCATGCAGCCATTTTTAAGATGAGAGCCATAAAATGAATGCAGTTTGCAAGGGATTGTATTCCTTATTTTTAGATGATTATGCAGGATTCTGTCTTACTCAAATAGATATTCCATGATTCACAATAGACTTACTGGTAAAATTGCATTCATGCTAGGGAAGTACATCCACAGAATTGTTTCTATATAGTCAGCTGAAAACTTCTGTTTTATAATTGCATTACTGTAGCATGTAAATATTTGTCTTGATGATCTTATACTGCTTACCACAGCAATGACACAACATATTTTATAATTGCAGCATTTTCTGTTTGAAAATTCCAAGCCATATTATACACCTTAATGTTCTCAGCTTTGTTAAAATAGAGACGCATACACCAACCTTTTTTGCCCTTCAGCTGATGAAGAGACAGGAGCAGCACAGTGGTTCAGAGCAGCTAAACTGTGACCTAGACAGTTGGTAGCTCAGATTTCACTTCTTGCTACTCATACTCAGCTCTTTCTCTTCTATATTGATATCAAGTTAGTTACCCTGACTTATCTTAGAGGAATGAAATAGCATGTGAAAATGTAATATGTATCTTGGCCTAGAAGGTGACTCTTGTACACAGTGTGTTCCACAGCCAGAACTGAGTAAGATTCACCTCTCAGTCTCAAGAGCTTCTTTATGTGGAATGGGGAAGATGGTAGAATCATCCTATATTTTACCTCCAGCACAAATGACTGGTCCTAGTGATCATACCAATGCTGAAAATACATTGTATTTTGGAATGCTATATTTTATATCCTCATGGTCAGATATTCTGCATTCTGATAAGAAGCTGCAGGGACATTAGGACTGTTCAGAGCTTTGAAAGAGTGAGAGTTTGAGCAGGGCACCCCCTCAACTGCAAAGGAGCCTCTGCCTCAAAGCAGCAGAGCAGTCATTATGTTTTTTCTTGGCCAATGTACTTTCTTCAAGGTGAGACAACTGCTTGAGATAAATTAAGCCTTAATCTTTCACAAGGCAGAGTGCGTAACACGTGAAAAGAAGCATGCCTATTATCCACACTCCTAAGTGACACAGATCAGGACATATCTCTTGTATTTGGGGGACAAATGAGCAATTCAGCACTGAGCTTTTGAGTGGCACCTCACCAATTAGAAAATGAGAGCTTCACTCCTACAAAAGCCACTTTTAAATGCCTTGGCCTCAGAGGAAAGCTTCCAAAAGGAGCATGTAGAAGAATCACATCAAGGAAAATGGTTATGTGGGCAGTAATACAGAGTTTATATATTCTGCTTGTTCTCTTTTCTTTCCCACATTTGAGGGCTCAAGAGACAGGCAGACAATAGAGGTGAGAGGGAATAACCGAAAGCAGCAGAAGCTGCAGGAAAAGAGAAGAGCAGGAGTATCTGAGATATCTCCCTAGCACTCCAGGCACTTGAACTGATTAATACTAGCTTTGCAAGGACCTTCCTGCTGCTTCCTTGAACCCACTTGAGGAGAACAAGCATTCAGATGCTCAGAGATAAGAAGAGCCAGTTAGACCCTTAAGGCATTGATATCTTCCCTCACTTAGGTCCTGCTACCAGCCTGCTTGTTTTTACCTTTCATACTGAATCTTGAGAACCACTATAGCTAGCATAGAACAGCAGTCATAAATGAAATAAAAAAATGACCCTCTGGGTGAGCATTCAGAAAAATGATGCCTTTCCAAGTAGGAAAAATCTCTCCTGAGAGACATAGATGCATTTGTTCACATGAGTCTTCCAGATCCAGTGAGGTTGCGAGGGTTGAAGGATGCCTGCTCTTCCATTTCATCAAGTGATCTGGCAGCTACACCAGCATCCATATTTCCACCTCAAATGGATTCAGCCATGCGTGTTCCTGAAGAAAACTGTAGATAAGAGTGTTGTGCAAGAAATAGCAACTGCTGAGTACAGTAAGTCTAGATGATCCAGGACTGTGAACCTACTTGAGCAGCAGCCTGACTCACTTCCTGAACTTCTTTTTCCTTGCAGGTGAAAAACATAATGTTCCCTAAAAACAATGCAGTAGAAATTTCCATCAAAAAACTATGTGGGTGAAATCCCCAATGGCAACAAAGAGGCTGTGGCTTATGTAGTAAAAACCCCAATATGCAACATACTATTTTTGTTACAGACTCTTCCAATCTAATCTTTCAGCCACAGTGGGTTCTACAGGAACAAAGGGCTGGGGAAAATGTGGCTAGGAAGTAGGCATGCCATGAGAAAGCAGTAAATCACTAAGGAACATTTCATAGGTGGAAAGAGCTTGAGATGAAAGCAAGGTTACAAGCCACCATAAATAATATCAAGAAAAGATTGCATCAGAATCTCTTTATTGGCAAAATGTTCTAAAGCTTCATGTGCTATCATGGAAATGTTTGCTACCCAAAACTGTTGCCATAGTTGTCTTTATAAGGTAATGCTTTGACAGGCATCATTTATAGGAAAACAGCAGAGGAAAATGGAATAATCAGAAATATACTTAACTTCCAATTTCTGTGTAGCTTAGTAATATGGCAGGATATATTGTTTGAAATAAATGTTGTAAGCAAGAAGCAATGGAACAAGTAGACAAAGCAAAATAATACTATAATTTTACCAGAAGAAGAATTTGAAAACATTCTGAAGAGTGCATGGAGGTTGGCAGATGAACTTCACACTGAAGTAATTTTCCATTTATTCAAAAATACAGAATGTACAGAATAAAATACTGTGATTACAATGCATGTGATAATTCCATAAGAAACTAAAAACAACAATTATTTAACCAGCGTTGGTTTGTGTAAAACAGTCAATTGAAGAACAGTTCACGCTGATTAGAGAACACAGAAGTATATTTAGAATGTTGTATAATATTCCAAATTCTCTTACAACATTTGGAAAAGATGTACACTAACAATGCAAGGTACTACAGACAATGTTGACACATGATGATATACAAGATCTTTGGATGATGAACAAAAAGCCCTTTCAAGATACATTTCAGCAGGATCAGTTCTAAAAGGCTCTTTTGAAATATGAGTGCATGAATAAGATGATCACTCTCTTTCAAAATGTTTTTATTGCTCTGCATCAAACACCTATTATAACAGTTGATAGGGGAGAATGCAGATTCTCCAAGCTGAAGTTAATGAGAACATATCTACACTATGACACAGGAGAGACTGGTCAGCCCTGCAATCTCAACAGAAAATAGAGTGTGGATCTTCAGGAAGTAATTCAAATCTTTGGAACTCCATCAGTGTTTATTATGCAAACAAGAAAAGTCGCATTTGCTGGTCAGGTGTTTAAAAGTTACTTAAAATGTTTGAGCAAAACATTTT